AGTGACCGAATTCAGTTTTCACGGATGTGTGATTTACCAGTATCCTTGTTGATATAAAATGCTACACAGATATTGCCTCTGGTTGCCATCACATGAGACGCGTTGACGATTAATCATAAAACAAGTAATTTTCATTATTTGTCAATCTCAAAAACAATGTGTGCCAAATTCAGAGGTTAAACGGCTTTCCTTAAAAATCAAATTTCCACTTTTGTTAACAAAGGCAAGATTTCATTATTTAACATTTAGCAAAGAAAACGAAGGATTGCAGAGCTCTGTTATCAATAAAAATTCCAATTTATTGGTAAAGCTTCTTCGACAGCTAATGCTTTCTTTGAAGAAAATTTTCTGCGCTCATTTTAGTTGATCGTTACTCCAGAATACATATGGTTTTACAACCTTAATTAATTTTTTTCTTTATACGATCAGTTGAGCATTATTTTTACTTCTTATTTTGCATTTTGCTGCAATCAACCTTATTTAGTCTGCATCTTTTCACTATGCCTATACTTACCGTGAAATCACTATTAATATTAAGGAGTTGCTTTACAAATGGTGACTTTTATAAAGTAATCAACTAAGACAGATTATGTTTTCCAACATGGGGTGCGTGATAGACTTACCCTCACGAGGTGCACATTGGACAACGTATCTTCGTACGACAAAAAGTCTATCACTCGGCAATTGATTTGACTTCGATTAATTATGATTAGCTTGAAACGAGGCAATAAGAGAAATCGCCTTCGTCATGGCGAATCACAAAATCTACAGATCCTCCAGTGGAATGCTGGAGGGATGTCACATGTCAAAAAGATCTAAGTCCAGAAAATCCTACAAACCTATGATGTAGACATTTTCACAATTATGGAAGCAAACGTATCGGATGACAAACTCAAGTACTACCAATTCCCAGGTTACATCTCTTAACTTCTACCTAACTTCCGCCAAGTTGCAAGTGGAATTCTGACTGGNATTTTCTTTATGTAGTAAAAAAGACATATGTGGGAGTTAGTGTTTACTGGACTGCAGACGGTATGTCTATTTTTTGATTTTGCTCATCTATCTTTTTGCTAATTTGCCGTTCTCAAAGATTTGCTTTCCGTTTAGGTGTGTCACCTGATATAACGGAATGCAAAAGTTGGTTCTTTTCTGTTTGGTGAAATATTACTGTTTTGGAAATTGAGGCCAGAAAAGATATGATATCTTTCTGCAAATATGAGATCCTTAGAACATCCTATTCAATAGCTTATGTCGGGGTTAATGTAGAAATATGCCAATTTTTCTCATTATGAACTAAAATTGAAACTCCATTAAGGAATTTGGCTGTCCCCATTTGGAAATTATCTTAAAATATAATTTTTCAGTAATTTTTGAATTAAAATCATTAAAATCATAAAGATCGTTTTATTTAAACTTTAGCCATATATTTTCATAAATACTAAAGAAGTAGCAAGCCATAAATTTATTTAAAATATTTGGAAAAGATGGTTTATAAATTTCGGTTTAAGCATTTTTAATTTGACTAAGGAATTAATATTGTATTTGGCACTAATATAATATTTAATAAACATATTTGAATTAGCATAGAAAACATAATATTTATTTTAAAATTATTGAAAAGATAGAAAAGTCATCTTGATGCATGAAATTACATTCAATAGCCAAATTTGTTAATTTTCAGAATACAAGCAAGAAACAACAACAAGCAGCGGAGAGTCCACATGATATAAAAAATTGTGGAAAATTTTAAAACGCATCATGTTTAAATAAATGACGTCATTTTAGAGTAATATTTTAATTTAATTAAGTCAATTAAATACTCTATTTTAATGTGTTATAGATCTAAAATTTGCAATCCTCCAGAGTATGAACCAGAAACATCAACAAGCAAAAGTGAGTCAGCGCAGTACTATCTGATTCATACTTTAATTCAAAACGATTAATTTACTATATTTAATTTCAATAACTCAAATAATCAATCAATGCAATTTTTGTTGTTTTATTACTATTTATTATATTATTTTATTCTGAAAGGAAAATATCATGGCAATAGATTAGAACATTAGAACAACCTTTATTTCTTTCAAATTGATGATGAAAAGGGCAAAAGGTATCTTCATGCACGCAAATGATGTTTGTGGGTTAAATTGGTAAATTTTCAGAAAACAAGCAACATCCAACAAAGCTTAATTGGTAGTTCAAATGAGAAATTGTTAATTTCACATCATTTTAATACAGTTGGATTCACTGTTTAACTTTATTCCAAAACAATAAATGAATCCAATTCGGTCAATTTAATGCTAATCTTGGAAAAATACTGCTCAAAATATGTGATGTCAAAATATTGATGTTAATGCAGAATAAACGTTTCATAACTTTTAAACTATGGCAGGTAGGGTTAAGTCTTAATCACAGATTTTGGAGCAGCTTAAAGCTTAGTTAGATAAGCTAGTAGGCTTAAATATGTGAAGGTATATTTTATTTTAGTTAATTTTTTACCAGTCTTACAACTGAGTTTATTATTTTATTTGTAATGATTAATTGAATGTATTTAATTTGGGGTAATTACAATAGATTTGATAGACTTCATTTAACGCAATTTTGACTTTCAAATTATCCTACACTTCCCAATAGGTTTTGCAATAGCATGCATATTTTATAGCAATTTATTTTAATTTGAGTACGGTTTGTAATCGTTCCAGGGTATGAACAAGTAACAACAATAAGCAAGGGTAAATAATTACGTAGTAATCTTTCAACTAGAATAATAAATTTAATATACTTAATTTCAGTAACTTATATATATATCTGATATTTGTTTCATTTAATATAATGATGCTCTAACTTTTATCTTATTCTACAAAATAGGTTGCTCAATTATATATGTATTCTCAAACAAGTTGCTTTATCTTACGAAAGCATTTGTAAGTTTTTCTTTAATCATTAACTGGAGATTGGTTTTACTTCATTTAGTTGCCTTTGGAATCTCTCTATGGATTACTCAATGAATGGCCCATTTCAGAAATCATTAACAAATTTTCAAATAAATTTTAATTAAAATTAATTTCAAAATATGAAAAACGATGGTCAAATAAATTTGAAACTGAAATTATTGCAACATGCACAATTTCATTTTTTCACCTGTTGAACTCCTGCCAATAGTTTATTTGCAACAAGTTTTCAAATTGATTCATCGCCAACATCAATGTCAATCTGGATTGTTTACAATTTATAAACTACTTCTTGGAGAACAGATCTCCGGAGAGATTCAATTAATAGTATGTGTAAAATGGTAGGCATTTCATTGAATTATTGAAGCCTGCTAATTATGCACTCAAGACCAATTAAATAGAACAATTAAATTAACAGAATGCGTCGACATGAAAATTTGTTTTTTGCTCATTTGAATGAGACACATGTTTTAAAATTAGCTGCAACTATAATAAACGGCGATATTATACAATCCAACTAGATAAATAGATACTATTAAGCTTGTGGATCAAAGCGATTTCTGATTATTATTCCTTCTCAGATCTATATACAGTTGTTTATGAGTTTTAAATTCCAACCAACAATTTGATTACATCCTCAAATTTTTCTTACGTGTTCCTCTTTTTTGTGTAAGTTTTGTCACCGAAGTGAGACACTTCTAAAGGCTTAAATTACTTTCAATTGCATAGTATGGTAGCTGAACAAGACATTTCCCTTTAAGTGACCGAATTCAGTTTTCACGGATGTGTGATTTACCAGTATCCTTGTTGATATAAAATGCTACACAGATATTGCCTCTGGTTGCCATCACATGAGACGCGTTGACGATTAATCATAAAACAAGTAATTTTCATTATTTGTCAATCTCAAAAACAATGTGTGCCAAATTCAGAGGTTAAACGGCTTTCCTTAAAAATCAAATTTCCACTTTTGTTAACAAAGGCAAGATTTCATTATTTAACATTTAGCAAAGAAAACGAAGGATTGCAGAGCTCTGTTATCAATAAAAATTCCAATTTATTGGTAAAGCTTCTTCGACAGCTAATGCTTTCTTTGAAGAAAATTTTCTGCGCTCATTTTAGTTGATCGTTACTCCAGAATACATATGGTTTTACAACCTTAATTAATTTTTTTCTTTATACGATCAGTTGAGCATTATTTTTACTTCTTATTTTGCATTTTGCTGCAATCAACCTTATTTAGTCTGCATCTTTTCACTATGCCTATACTTACCGTGAAATCACTATTAATATTAAGGAGTTGCTTTACAAATGGTGACTTTTATAAAGTAATCAACTAAGACAGATTATGTTTTCCAACATGGGGTGCGTGATAGACTTACCCTCACGAGGTGCACATTGGACAACGTATCTTCGTACGACAAAAAGTCTATCACTCGGCAATTGATTTGACTTCGATTAATTATGATTAGCTTGAAACGAGGCAATAAGAGAAATCGCCTTCGTCATGGCGAATCACAAAATCTACAGATCCTCCAGTGGAATGCTGGAGGGATGTCACATGTCAAAAAGATCTAAGTCCAGAAAATCCTACANCACTATCAATTGAATCCTTAATTACTCCTGAAATTGTAAATAATAGCTCAAATGAAGGTATTCTGCCACTTCACTTCTTAACACTTAATGATTTGACAGATGGCATTCTCATGCAAAAGACTGAACTACCTACATTGCGCTAGTAACTTAGTTTGAGGATAGATTCGAAATTGACTGAATAATGTAGTGTATATAACCATCAACCGGGTAATTTCTCACAAAATCTTATTGGAGTTGGTACATTATACATTTTGATTAATGCTGCATCACTTTACGCCACACAAACTTAAATAGCTGGATCAATAATGATTCACGTACCAAATAGAATACAAACGAATATGTTTTATTGATTGGTAACGCATTTCATGTGTGTGTGCTCACGTTTTAAGAGGCATATAATTCGCTCATACAAAGATAATTCATAGGCAAATATAGCACTTCTATCCACGAGGAATGGAACGCGACCAGTGGCCCTCGCCACTGGTGGTTGGACAGGCAACATTAGTGCTAAGCCAGAGCATTGACCATTACCATGTGCATCGGATTGTATGATGCCGATTCATGGGTGCTGAAACAATACCCAATGGTGGAATGGGCGTGGAAGCACAATATCGTTTGTAGACAACTTAGTGTTTTCTCGAGAAGACGTTTGTTTTCTTGCAGATCTCTGATTGCGAGGTATTGAGTGCTATTCCTACTATACGCAATGATTTGGAGCCTTTGAGTCATATGTATCCGTTCTTTCATTCCACATATCTGCATGTGTACGTATGCTGTTCACTCCCAAGCTAAGGTATGTACATGGGCAACTTATGGCGTTTAATTATGGCATTAATCACTATGCTCAAAATATATAGCTGTGTTGTGTGCGATAGACTTACCTCCACGTGGTGCACCCTGGACAACGTATCTTCGTAAGGCAAAAAAATCTATCACTCGGCTTTCGTTATATTCATACGGCAAAAAGTCTATTAACTGGCAGTTAACTACGATAGACTTACCTCCACGTGGTGCACCCTGGGCAACGTACTTTCTTACGGCAAAAATTCTATCACTCGGCATTCGTTTTTAGGCAAAAAAATCTATCACTCGCAATTTGCTTTGACTTCGATTTATTATGATTAGCTTGAAAAGAGATTATAAGAGAAATCGCCCTCGTCAGGGCGAATCACAACGTCTACAGATCCTCGTCAGGGCGAATCACAACGTCTACAGATCCTCCAGTGGAATACTGGAGGGATGTCACAGTGCAAAGTGATCCAAGTCCAAAAAGTCCTACAAGCCTGTGATGTAGACCTTTTCACATTTATGAAAGCAAAAATTTCGGATGACAAACTGAAGAACTACCAATTCCCAGGTTACACCCTGTACCTTCTACCTAAATACCGGCAAGTTGCAAGTGGAATTGTAGCTTGAGTGAAAGAAGGCCTCACCTCACACTACGATCTAATCAAGAGTATGGGCTCGACACAAGACAAATGTGAAATAATCAGATTCAATGTTTGGAAATGTCAAAACCGCTTCAAGATATACACAATCTATGGTACACCACAGTATAGTCCCAACTTTGATCTTCTTATCATCTCACACAAAACGGTAGTATTAGGAGTCTTCAACGCCAATTCCACCAGATGGGGCTATGAGAATACAAACGTAGATGGAAAGGAAATCGAAGACATGCTTAACAGCAACTCTGTGGAACTTATTTATAGAAATTAGGATCAGGCTACATACCTACACTAAAATGGAACCAGAACAACTTCTGACTTACTCTTGGCTTCAACCGACATCGGCGAGCATACACGCCGCAAAATAATTGACGATCCTGGTTCTGGTCACAAACGGCAAAATAATTGACGATCCTGGTTCTGGTCACAAACCAGTCCGTGAAATAATTGACGATCCTGGTTCTGGTCACAAACCAGTCACCGCACAATAATTGACGATCCTGGTTCTGGTCACAAACCAGTCATTATGATCCTGGTTCTGGTCACAAACCAGTCATTGCTAGCTACCATCGGCAGCAAAAGCATGACAAGGAAAGTGCCAACAGGCAAAATAATTGACGATCCTGGTTCTGGTCACAAACCAGTCCGTGAAATAATTGACGATCCTGGTTCTGGTCACAAACCAGTCACCGCACAATAATTGACGATCCTGGTTCTGGTCACAAACCAGTCATTCTACCATCGGCAGCAAAAGCATGACAAGGAAAGTGCCAACGTCGGCGGCAAAAGCATGACAATGAAAGTGCCAACTAAGTCATCATGGAACTTCAAGAAGTTTGACTGGCCTAGAATCATAAACCATTTAGACAGTGAACTCCACACAACTCCCATCAATTTCAACCAACATCCTGACAAACTTTGCAACGATACCACGAAAATTATGATCAGATTTGCAACGGAAACAATTTCCCGAGGCAAGACTAAACACTATCGAGTGTTTTGGTCTAAACACCTTGAAAAACTGAAACGAAAACGGGACGCCCTTCGCAACACCACTGAACAGACTGGAAAAACGGAAGATGTACAAGCCTGGAGACGGCAGTCAGCTGTCCTAAGACAAGCCATTTTACAAGTTAAACGCACTTCCTTCGACAATTTCATCTCAAATATCAACTATCAAAGTGATAGCCAACGCACTTTCAAATTTCTGAAAAACCTACAAAACAAGAGAGAAAGACCCAAGAAAGAAACAATACGCTTAAGCAACAAAGATACAAGTAAGACCGTTTGGTGAAAAAAGGAAGACATAACAACACCAAATAATGTACTTACTGAACCATCCAGACCTTGCAAATTTAATGCTGCGATAAAACAGCTCAAGTGCAAAAGACACCTGGCGAAGATGGTATTCATTCGGAATATCTAATTAGAATAGAATCAAAAGCCAAGGAAACCATGCTGATGCCTTTCAACAAAATCTGGGAGACCAGTCTCGAAACTTATCAATGGAAATTCGCCATAGTAATACCAATACTAAAAAAGGGCAAAGACATAAGCAACTTTGACAACTATAGGCCTATCTCCCTCACAAGCAAATGGTTAACAGGTGACTGACTTGGTTCCTTGAGACAAACAATATTCTTAGGAATGAACAAGCAGATTTTAGGCCACAAAGATCAACTAAACAACAAGTTGCCACTTTCTCCCAACACATCAAAGATGCCCTTGATGCAAGAAATACTCTTACAGCTGTTTTCGTGGAGTTCAAATCAGCATATGACTTAGTATGGAAAGAGAAGCTAATTCAAAAATTGGCAAAGATTGGTATTAAGCATAACATGCTAAACTGGATAAAAGCATTAATTGAACAAAGATTATGTAAAGTCTGATATGGAAATGCTCTATCAAAATCCAATCTTTTACAAACAGCTTTTCCACAGGGAGCTGTCACAACCTGCACTCTTTTCAATGTCTTCATCAATGACATTGCCGAACTGGAATTGACAGTCACGGTCATCAAGTGCTTACTCTATGCAGATGATCATGTTCTATGGTATTCCACACCTAAGAAAAATGCTCAGGAGACTAGAGAAAGTGCCCTAAGTTGTGCACTTAAACTACTAGCAAGCTGGTGCGACAACAATGGAATTGTAATCAACACCACGAATACTGCATTCCAAACATTTTCTCTGGCCCGCCACAGCACAAACCTTACTTCTAAAGTACAAGGATTCTACCATAGGAAAACACCAATGAGTTCAATTATCTCGAAATGACGTTTGACACAAAGCTAACGTGGAAAAGTCACATTGCTGAAATAGCACAACGATTCTCCAATATACTTAATGTACTGAAGCGTCTTGCTGGTTGCGTATGGGGCTAGGCACGCTCAACTCTCAACACCACTTATAAGATGTTTATTCAGTCAATAATGTTGCATTGCTGTGAGCCACTCATTATAGCCACAGAGGTGCCTCCCATATCACTCCAGAAGGCACACAACCAGGCTTTGTGCCTAATTACTGTAGGAAAAAACTTTCTCCCATTGATGCAATGCTCCTGGTTACAGTGAGCACCACAATATGTTCCCTTATCAATCAGAAGGCATTGATTCTGCATGAGAAGCCACTGCGCGTACCCAGGGTTGAATTATTTAGCACCTATGAGAATAGATCAAGACACCTGAAAAGCAATCTGATCTAATACAGAAAACCATAGAACTGAAGAAAGAATTACAAATCGATGACAAACCAAAAAGCCTTCCTCTACCCATGAACCCATTAGCAGACATTGATGTAGTGTGCTGTACCCAACTGCTTGACTACTTCAGGAAATCAAACACCCCTCCAGAGCAAATGCGTTCACTGGCCCTTGAGATAATTAATGCCAACTATCGTGGAGGTCAATAGCTCAAAGTCTTCACTGATGCGTCATACATAGAAAACCATGCAAACGTTGTGCAGATGTCTATTTCGAACTCTTAGATTTCCACGTAGCGAAGCCATTAGGATAGCACTATGTCAATTATGTTGCCGGGCTACGAAATTCACCAAAGCGCTGATACTTTCGGACTCGCAGTCAGCAATAAGCTCTATTGGAGGCAGAGAGCCACCCAAAACAGCTGAGATAAAGGAATGAAGAAAGCTCTATGAGCTGCTGAGAGAGAAAAAAAAACAGTGGTCCTTCATTGGAATCCTGGTTGCTGTGGCATTAAAGACAATGAGATTGCTGACACTCTTGCTAAGAAGGCGACAACGATTTTGTAGTGCATGGACGGGTCGATGTCTTTCCACACAATGAAAACCTTAATCAGGTGAGAATTCAAGACCTCAAAGTGTAACGAACTTAAAGCTTGAATAAAGGAGAAACAGTGGACAGTGGTACTCTCCGGTATAGCCGACTGGCTAAGAATCGAAGCCGTTGCTGAGTTTAGAATACGTAACGGACACGATTGCCTGACAAAATACCTTCACAGATTGTGAGTATACACTCAACCCACATGCCCCCTATGTAACCTACAGGAGGAAATGGAGAAGACCCACCTCTTTCGGTGTCCAGCCCTAAAGACAGGGACGGAAAGCCAAAGATACTGGGAAGCAAGAAGACGGCTAATTAACTGCTATAAATGTACTCCCCCTCCCACCCAAGGGGAAGCTGAAGTCAAAGCTTGCCATTTGAAAAAGTAATGTTTCCTAACATCTGTCTCAAAATGTTTCTCTCAACCGTGTTTTCCGTTTATCCGAATTTTGTCTAAAATGCTAGTGTGTATAGTAACAGCCTAATTAATTAACACGAGAACGTATATTACCTTCAGGTTAATATTTCTCTCAAATACTGCGCATTAATCGCTGATTGGAACAAAATAGACTGAAATAGTTGATAATAGGTAAAATTTTGTTTAAATAAGACAGTGACACCTACTGAGGCTCATTCGAATTTCATTTGGCGCAGTTAACTACATTTGTTTCCATTTCATTAATTTTTGAGCATTGAGCACCTAGGTGAATGAATGACTCCCATTTTATTAAAGCATTCAGATAATGCATTCGGAATATATTGAGCTTTTTGTTGTCTATTTCGAATGCGAATAAGGTGACAGTCATTTGCTCTTGTGACTGTTTCAACACTTTCGTAGTGCTATTTATGTCATTTTGACTATTAATATAAATCCATTTTCCTTTTTTTTCCGAAATGCTTCCATTATCTAAAATCGACATACAATAATTGTTATGGTCAAATTAGAGCAATTAGCACATACAATATGGTAAAATGAAGTCACTTCTGACACCAGAAGAGATTAATATTGCCCTGTAAAAAATGGAATCGAAAATAACGAAAGTAAGAGATCTTATTTCTTCATGCATTTATTATATATGTATTAACTTCCATTTTAAAAGTAATGAAACAGTGCTAAAATGGAATATAGCTTATTGCTGTTTACTACACTGACAGGCCTTAAATGTACCCAGTAATATCTATGGTAGATTTATTTTTTTTGAAATTCTCCTAGAATTAGCTAAGCTACCGCAAGGCCTCAGAGGATATATGGGTACGACGTGGAATACTTGTATTTAGTAACGTCGAATTACAAACGGGTACTTATTTATAATATTTACTCTCTAAAAATCAATACTTTAGGCAGATTTTGTTGGTTCTCCAAAGGAGATTGTTGTTTTTCTTGTAAACATGTCTCTTCCTTTCGTCTATATCCAAATAGACATATTTACTTGCCATTAAAACTTTTTAAACTAGGTCCCTACGCTACATATTTAATGAGCACTCAATGAGAATTTATTAATAGCTAAACATTTGCAACCTTTTGAAGTTAGGGTTTGCCTTTTTCTCACTTATAGTCTGTGCAATTACTCTAGTTCGTGATTAAGAAGGGAAGTCTGACTCAGATAAGATTCTCTAAACCTACGCGAGATTTTAAGGCATATGTGAAAATTGTACGTGAATGTCCTATAATTCACATTTTAGGTGAATACAGTAGAAACAGTCGTGTTCATACGGTCTATTCTTGTCCAGAAATGAATTAGTCTGAACGACGGCCCCATGGCCCGTCGTCGCCTTTATTGGAAAAATACTTCTTTACAAGAAATCGTCTCGTTTTTGAGCTCTCACCTTAATCTGAACAACAAGCATCATTCATCAATCTNGAGCACTCAATGAGAATTTATTAATAGCTAAACATTTGCAACCTTTTGAAGTTAGGGTTTGCCTTTTTCTCACTTATAGTCTGTGCAATTACTCTAGTTCGTGATTAAGAAGGGAAGTCTGACTCAGATAAGATTCTCTAAACCTACGCGAGATTTTAAGGCATATGTGAAAATTGTACGTGAATGTCCTATAATTCACATTTTAGGTGAATACAGTAGAAACAGTCGTGTTCATACGGTCTATTCTTGTCCAGAAATGAATTAGTCTGAACGACGGCCCCATGGCCCGTCGTCGCCTTTATTGGAAAAATACTTCTTTACAAGAAATCGTCTCGTTTTTGAGCTCTCACCTTAATCTGAACAACAAGCATCATTCATCAATCTAGCTTTTGTCTGCATCAAGCAATTTTGTTTATTAATTATCCTTTTTGATGAGAGTTGTGCTTTGTGGAGACAAGGAATAAGGCTTCAGAATGTATAAATGATCCATATGCAATATTTTTTGCTGATAATTCATGAATAAGTAAGCATATAACAAACTAACTCGTCGAAATTATTATTCAATACTATTGTGCACTTTCAGTTTTTAAAACAAATAAACTCAAGTAACTTATTTAGCATTACTACTAGAATCCAACAAGTAATTCAGGCGTAGTTGGTTATTCAAATTTCAATATTTATTCATTTTTCAAAATATAGCTCGATTTTTAATGAGCTTTTAAACGTTCAAGGTTAAGTTAGTAGATCTTAATGAAATACTTTTAAGCAAAAAAGTAAAGATATTTTTATTCAATTCTCAGCAGCCACTAAACAATAATGTTCACTTTATACATACGTGTTACAAATGATAAGAAAATGCTAAGGTAGTTTTATTGCCACTTTAAGTATAAAATTTTATAAATTAAATAAAACTGACCAGTGTCAGTAATGAAGACTTTTGGTTCCCACTTCCTTGATAAAAAGTGAAACAGTGTGAATGGTATTATTTGCTTTCACTGAAGGCTGGGAATAATCAATATAATATATTTTTCCAACCTAAGAAGGCAGTCAGGCTAACGATTAAGCATTTATTCTATCTATTCGAACTCTGCATGGAGTGGTTAATCAAATGATTCGTTACCTTGCTTTTATAACA